TATATATATATATATATATATATATATATATATATATATGAGAAATCTCAGGATACATACATAGTGAGCTTTATTCAGGAATTTATATATTTAAATAAGGAAAACAAAGGCGATGCTTATCTCAGCTGTAGAATTAGTATGTCTGGTTTATAATCGCCTAATATTGTTAATAGCGAAGTCTCCCAACATTTCCCTACACATCAGTATTCATCTTGTAATAAATGCATCAAGAAGTAAAACCTGTATGCATGCACATACAAGTGAAAAACGTCTCTCACCTTCACAGAGCGCAGAATCGGAGCTTTAGTTGAAAATGCTTCGTCAAATTTGCATCGTGGAGATTTAAGTTTGCGCTTTCCCTCGGGGGGATTTCATGGAGACACGCCTGCGCTCCACGACAAAATCATTCTGCAGCAGACAGTCATGCATCGGTTCTCTCTGCTTCACCGTATTTTATTACTACATATTAATGATCAATCAGACAGAAAATGAGTAACTCAAAGAGAGCAAACGGAAGTTATACCGCCCAGAAAGTGAATATAAACGCGATATTGTGTTTGCAAAAGCATGCAGAAAGGAAACAGTAAAAGTGACTAATGGCCTTTCATCACATAGTTTATGTGGGATTTAGATTTCCAATGCTGAAAACAAACTGACCAAGACAAAGTAAACCACACCATCCCAGGTCAAGCATGTGGAAACTATTATTATTTTAACTGATTGTAGAGATGTATTTCAGTTGTTTTGTTTTTAATCACAGCTTTCCAACACGTATCAATGATTTATGCTGTCTTTTACAGCCCCCTCTAGTGGCCGTCAGAGTTTATTTCCAGCCGGAAGCTGAATTTTCAGATGATGCAAGTGAAAGCTCTCCCTGTGCATTCTTGCATTCTCTCTGGATTTATGTTGATCAAACAACTTTCTTCCAGAAAAAACGATCAGATAATCAGTTTAAACTTTCATGTATATAAAAATTCACAAGACTTCCTCTTCCAGCCACCTGGTGGAAAGCCTTGACTTCTCCAAACATCTTTTTACGATGGTAAATAACTGAACCCCTCTCTGATCTGTCCCAAAAATATTTCTGGAGAAGTACTTGTTTGTCTAAATGTGATTTTCTTCCTTTGCTCCGTAGCCCACCTGTTGCGGCCTTTTTTCTGATTCAAAAAAGTAAAAGGTTAGAAATGTGAACTTATTTATGCTCTTAACTATAAAGAGCACATAGCAAGGCTCTTGGGGTCATAATGTATTCATGACCCAAACTTTTTATGTTGGTACTGGAAGATGGGTACCTTTGCTAACGACGCACAAAAAAAAAAATCTTAAGATGGCCGAAATCAAAGTTTTCTGTACTTCATATTTGATTTGCCATTAACTACAAACTATAATGAAAATATATTTTAAATAACCATCAAAATGTTCCAACTCTTTAAATAAAAAACTTAAAAATTGGCAGGCATTATTTTTGCAAATATCATTGTTTTATTATAGAATGTTTACATTTACATCTTAAATCACTCATGTAAAGACAAAGGTTATGCATAAAGTGTTTTATTACATCATTTTTACATGTATATCTTGAAGTCGCTTTCATTGCAAAAAGCTTTAATTTTCTGCATCCAAGACATAAGAAAAATTTTTCATGCATCTGTAAATGTCAGAAATTTGTGAACCTTAGTATGTTTATATATTTATTTACATTTCAAACTACATCTCTCCTAAAAACAGTTTACAATAAATAAAACCACTAATCTGCATCACAAGTATACACAGCTGCCCAGACCAAACCCATTTCATACTACAGAACCGACCCTGACAGAATAAAGACTCAAAGAACATCATCCCACACTGTGGATGAGGTTCGGTTGGTTTCAGAGGAAGAAACTACATGAAGCCGGAAACTCTTCAGGAAAATGGTGGAAGGCTTAGCTCTTAGGTACCTGCAGAGCAAAACACACAACAAGAGGTAAGAGCCAAGAAACTGAAAACTGACTGCTCATATGTTCTCCACATAAACCACTAAACTGTTTATTAATGGAAAAAAAAAACTAAATATTCCTGAACTACAACATTTCTCAATTTAGATCTTTTCATACCTGTTTGAATGTCACAGGTTTCTGCTCTTGTACACAGAGCTTGGACTTGCAACTACCAATTAGTCCTGCAGTTGACCTCAACTGATGGCCTTCACCGGCTTTGATGTCTTCCATCTCCAACCAGTCATGCACAGACGAACACATACCATTAACTGGTCGTGCTGATTCCACCAACTGTGAGAACAGAAAGACACATTTAAAAACTGAGTTTCAAACATTTTTTTAATCTATTGTCTCTTGGCCCAGGAGAATGACGTCCCTGAAGAGGTTTACGTCTGCGATCAGTTTTCTGTTCTGACGGCTTCCTGCTGTGAATAAGGTGAACTGAAGTTCACCAGGGATTTGATCAGATGAGTCAAATCAGCCTAAATAAACCAAAACTTAAAGGGATGTAAGCTTATCTGTCAGATGTTACAGTGAACCCGTGGACGGGTAGGTTAATTATTTCATGGAACGACTGCTGGAAATTCAACGTTGAGTCATCAGAGGGAAGAGCAATTCTTACATGAAGCAACAATTTATCTACAGGTGAGTAAACAGCTTAGCTAAATGTGCTTTGGTACTGTTTTAATCTGTTAGTAAAACGTAATTAAAATCACTCATTAATAAGAATCGGTTCTGCTGTTGGAAAAGGTTTTCAAAAAACAGTTCATACTGGCTCTGATAAAGGACGCCATAATATTTTCATTTTTAATGTTAATAGACTGAAAAGTCAACAAATTATTCTGTAATTATTGTAATTTTATATTAGTGGATGCTTACCGTCAGGGTTCCTTCTACTATATTTAGCGAATAATGTTTTGAGTCATGTTTGAAGTTGAAAGCCACATATTTCTTAGTCAAGCCGTCAGTGCTTTGTCCATGAATGCAACATTCCACGCCGTCTAAAAACAAAACAAAAAAGTCAGATGTCAGTGTTGATTCCTCCATCCAGTGCATTTTCCAACAATCAGACTCATTTTGAACAATTTGCCCTGGCTTTTCAGGGGCATTGCCCAGATTGATAGCTTGTTCTGCATTTTCAGGCACCTTTGATGTCAGAGATAATAATTACATTTGTAGAAACATTACTGAAATATTTCTGTAGACATGTCGCAGGTGTATATCACTCAAACATGCAGCTCTAACTGTTCAGCTTCACTAAAACATAACTCGTTATTTTTGAGGGATTTTCCTACCTGCAGCTCCTTGCTCATCAACCAAGAACAGCTCAACCTTTGATTCCTTTGATTTTCGGGCTTGAACATACTTTCCGTCCACCGTAAGGTGAACCTTCGTAGACTTGTGCTAAAATGTGAAAAATAGATACAATAAGTAATGTTCACTAAGCACAGGTCGGTCAGTCTGGACCAGAATTACCAACAGATCGAATTTGCATTTTAAAACCTTCTCGTGAGTCGAACATTATAAACAATACATGGTAGAAGTAAAAAAAAAACAAAACAAAGTACACTGAAAAATGCAAATATATTTAGTCAGATTGTTTCTATGTTACAAGGAGTCAGACTTTATTACAGTTGAAACCAGAAGTTTACATACACCAGATAAAGACATGTACTTTAGTCATCTCTCTGCATGAAGTGAAATCAGGCCAAACGTCTTTTGTTTTAGCTCAGTTAGAATCACTACATCTTTAATGTTTTAGTCAGTGTATGTAAACTTCTGGTTTACATTATAAAAATACTATATTTATGTATTGATGGTGGTTCTTCTTCAGGTTTTCTAATAGGAGCTTGTTTGTTAAGATAATACGTCATTAGTTTTAGCACTATGTACATTAAATGAGAAAAAAAACTATTTAATTGTTCTTGTTTAAATATCAGCTACCTAAAGTAATTGGAAAACTCTTTTCTCTTTAAATTTTAGATTTGTCCTCATTATTTTCGAGTCCTTTTTTCCTTTTCTTTTGACTAAATAATTTGGAGTCTCATTAGTGGGTAACATTATGACCAAATTTTAGTTGTTTATGTTTTAGGAATTGCTTTGCAATTTTAGAGTAAGTATCTGTGTTTTTTTTTTCTCTAAACGATCCCTAGCAGTTTTAGGACTGAGAAGACAAATACAAAGAACCTGTTGGGAATCTGGCAGTAGCAGAAACTATAAAACATTTTGCATACACAAGCTGCGGAAAACTACTTTTCTGATCCTTATCTCCTCCAATATTGCTCCACACCACCACATGAGAGACTGTCATAGTAAAAAGAGTACATGTGTCAAAATCTGACATGCTGTGATACTCACCATCTCTCGAGACATTATGTGAAGCAGAGAAGTGGCTGCCTTTTGGAGAAGGTGATCTGTGTGTGTTGCAATGAAGAAGTGAAGGTTGTGTCTCACAGTGGAGCTATTTAAGTGTTTTGGCTCTTGGTTCGGTTCCAGCACAGGGACGAATCAACGACGTCAAAATTAACGGCACGTTGTCGGGCCAGTTGTTGTTTTAGGGCGTTTCTCGCACAAATTACAACAACTTTAAAAGTTTTTCTAAGTAAATTTGAAAGATCAACTCTGAAAAACTGGTAAAAGTGAAGCAGATTTTTATTTCTGAATATCCAAACCGTGAACAAATTCAAGTTTTCATAAGCATGTAAAAATCCAGTTGTCTAAGGTACAAAGTTTATTCAGAGTGTATATTTACTTCCTTAAGTTGAAGACTTTCATTTGTGATTGCATAGTGAACAACAGGATGATCATTTATTTATTCAGACAGCTGTGGAAAAAACTAAGAGACCACTTAAAGTGATCGGTTTCTCTGATTTTCCTCTTTGTAGGTATATGATTGAGAAAAATGAACATTGTTCTTTTATTCTATGAACTACTGACATGTCTCTGAAATTCCAAGCAAACATTTTATATTTATTTGCAGAAAATGAGAAATGTTCAAAATAATGGAAAAGATGCAGAGCTTTCAGACCTCAAATAATACGGAGAAGACAAGTTCCTATTCATTTAGAAACAATACTGTTTTAACTCAGGAAGAGTTCAGAAATCAATATTTTGTGGCATAATCAGGTTTTCAGTGGTTTTCAGTGCAGTGGTCTCTTCATTATTTCCAGAGCTGTACATACAGAAGTACGCCCACAACATAGCATACATTAAAAAAATTAAAAAAAGACGTGCTTCAAATTTTAAAGTGCGCAGATATTTTCAAAAATTTTGAAAGAAGTTGTCATCCACCAACATTTTAACCCCTCGGCCACATCTGAAGAGATGCAACAAAAACAGACCTAAACAATTCCTTCTATTGCAAATTGTTTTGTAATTATTTTCCTCATAAAATGAAACATTTGGAAAATTCTTATCACAACAAAGATTGTTGTGATAATCTTTGTTGTGATCATCACGACAAAGATAATCACAACAATAATCACAATCATTTTGGTCTTGTTTTAAAATAAACTCCTGCTCTACCGCCGTTTGAGCAGAAACGTTGATTAGAAGGAGCAGAGCAGGGTAACTGGTTCATCCGGTCCTGGATCAAAGAGGAAGAAAGCTCCTGAGATTAGATTCAACAAATAAGTTTTTCTCCTGTCATTGTTCAATTTCTTTTGATTTTTTTTTAAATAAACCTGAGAAATGCCAAATAAAACAGATTAAGACTGTGGTTCTTCCATCTCCAATGATGCAATCCAGAAGTCAACCTACATTTAATGAGATCAAATGATAAACCGGCAATAGTCAAATCAGGCTGATGAATCACTACTGCATACAGGTCATACCTTAACTCAGGTGTGTTCAAACGATTGTGTAATGGTCTGGTTTCACTTCACACTTATCAGCGCAGATGTTGGCTCCAGCTTGACAATCCAACAGACACGGAAACCATCGGTTCTGTTGTCCCGTTAAAGAATATTGCTAAAAAAAGGACAACTTAAAGGGTTAACACTGAGCTTAGTCTATTATTTTTTACAAAGAATTGATAGTGTGATTTTTTTTTTTTTTGCAACATTTGTCACCTTTAGCTGCTGCACTGTATCAAACCAAGCCAACCTGTTCCCCTCCTCTCCTGTGGGGGCGCTGCAGCAAGAACCACTGAAGGAAACGACAGAAAAACCTTGCTTACCATTTCTGCCACTAGCTCTAGACACGTGTTTGTTTCAGTTATATTTACCCAGAATGCCCTCTTGTAGTTCACTTTCATCTCAGATTCATCTCGTCCCATGAACATTGTGTCTCATCTTGTTTTATATATTGCAACACAAAACATAAAACATTATTACACCTAATAATGACAAATAGTTAGTATAAGAAAAAAAAAATCCTCCATCTTGGTGTCATCATGACTGATCCAAATAAACTCAGATATTTTATTTATCCTATGGAAGGTCATAATGAAAACAGTTCAGATTAGCCGTTTACTTTAACACATATTCATCTATATGTAGCATTTAATTTTTATTTCTTTAAACACATACAAACATTTGGATTTAGTTAATACAGTAAAAATGTACACAAATATCCAAACATGAACTTTATTTAAAAGAAAAGCCCAAACAAAGAATATGTTCACAAGGTCAAACTAAAGCAATGTGCTGTAGTTCTGCAAAACTTTAACCAGAAGGTTGACCAGAGCGGCAGCGTTTCTCTCTTCTTCACTGCGCTCCGTTCTTCGAGCCGTTCTGCTTTCACAGCTGCGAAATACCGCTTATTCTGCTGCGAAGGTTGACGAACTTCTGGCGCCGCTCATGGTTCTGCTGCTCCACACCGAGCAGCTCTGGCCGCAGACAGCATGTCCGCCGGTCCATGTTGCTGCCAGGAGTCTGCAGCGGCGTAAATCAATGCAGTCTACCGTCAATCAAAAATCGCTTCCGCACAAAACCTGGGTTGGCGCGGCTGGAACCACCCCAGATGGGGAGGAACCTGGATGGTTCGGGCTGGGTCAGAACCGGCTAAAACTGCTCTTGTGAATAAACAGCTAACAAGTGGCAAGATGTTTTACTTAGAAATAAAAATAATAAAATAAAATAAATATAAGTCCATAAATAATTATTGATTTGTTTTCTTGTTTTAAATATTTGAACTATTACCAAATGGTGATGTAGCCTTTCCTGCTCATTTTCTCATTTCACTCAACGGTTTATTTTTAACCTGTCATTCACGAGAGGACCCAAATTTGGGTCCTCTCGTGACAGAGGTGTCAAACTCCAGTCCTCAAGGGCCGCTGTCCTGCAACTTTTAGATGTGCCTCTGCTGCACCACACCTGAAAAGAATAATTAGGTCATTAGCAAGGCTCAGGAGAATCGATCTACACAGGGAGGAGGTAATTAAGCTATTTCATTCCACTGTTTTTTACCTGTGGCACATCTAAACACT